AAAATCAGAGCTGATGGCTCAGCAGTAGAGTTCCAGTCTAGCAAGTGTGAGGCTCTAAATTCAAACCCCAGCTTCAGACCCCACTAAAAATGAATGGAAGGAAGAAAATTGGAAGGAAGGAAATCTGAGAGCGGGGAGGGTAAGATGTCTAACAGAAGAAAAGGCAAACATGTAAATGCCCTGCATCCATTGCACCCTGAAGTTAGTAAATTCACTTGTTACCAGATGCGCCAAAAATAAGACATTTTTACTAGGTAAGCTATCCCTACTATAATACAGATTATAACTATTGGTGTTTTGCTCTGTCAGAATTTCCAGAGAAATGCATGCATTTTGTAATTGTCTGTGCATCTTGTAATTTCAAAACTGCACAGATGTAGCCAGGTATGGTGGCTCTAATGATGCAATTGCATAATTAGAGAGGTGAGGGTCATGAGTTCAAGGCTAGCTTGGACTAAAAAAAACCAGGCCCTGCCTTAACAAAATAAAGAAAACATGAATAGCACACATATTTGCTGTAATTTTTAGCTCCTGCTTATTTAATTGAAGACACATAAAAATAAAGGCAAATCTGCAAATACAGAGCAGGGTCCAATATGTACCATGTAAGCACCTTTGTTAATTAATGTTATAAGGTGAATCCTCCCAGTAGCCACATTTTGAAATATATAATATTAGAGTCTTTATTATACAGTTAGCAGACTGTAGGCAGCCAGTTGTTACAAAGGCCTGCAGTCCCCAAATACATATAACACAGCTAGGAAACATGCTAGAGAGGAAAAAAGAACAAAAACAATACCAACAATCCAATTCAGCTACAATGGAGAGCTGAATTGGGATGCCATGATGACTGGAAACAAGCCAGGGGGCAGGACACAGGAGAGGATCACGGAGACACTTGTGGCATGGCATAATGGTGGCTAGGCTGGTCTGGACCTAAATAGGGTCCATATAGATCAACAGGAAATTCCCAGTCCCAAGCAGTGGACTGACAGCTTCAGTAACCAATCAACCAAGCACCCACCCATCCCCCCAGGGATCTAGGCAAGCCCATCACCTAGGAGGCAAGTGATGGGCAGTGGGGTTTCCTTCCCCCAATGAAGACAAGATGTCAGACCCTATCATCCATCATTTAGCCAATATGGCTCTGGCCAGACCTGACCTCCTCATGTCATTAACATTGGTAAAGTATAATGAGACATCCTATAGATGAAATTATGGTTGCTGACAAGTCAGATATCTTCGTATATTGTTGTAAGGTGAGAATTTAGAGAGGCCACATTTTGAAAGAATCAAATCTTAGAGTCTTTATTAGAGCACTACAAGTCTGCAGGCAGCCAATTGTTACAAAGAACTGCAGTCAGCAAATACATCAACAGTTAGGAAACAGAACAAGGAAGGCCAGAGAGGTAAGAAAGAACAAAAACAATGCCAACAAACCAATTCAGCTCCAGTGAAGAGTTGAATTGGGATACCATGATGACCAGAGAACAGCCAGGAGACAAGAGACAGGACAGGAACATGCATGGCATCATGGCTCCTGAGCTGTTCTGTGCCCACATAGGGTCAGGCCATGGCGGGCAGGGTCACACCTCCAGTCCCAGGCACTGGACTGACAGGTTCAGTAACCTATCAGCCATGTGCCTATCCCTGTGTCCAGGGATCCAGACACACTCATCACCTGAGGGGTGGGTCACATTCTCCTCCCCACCATGAAGATAAGATGCCAGACTTCAAATGGATATACTCAGGTTTCACCTGAACTTTTCTATCTAGGGAAGAGAGGCCTTAACCTTCCATGAAGGGTATGCTTAGAGGCTACTGAGAGGCTGCTAATTCAAGCCATTTAGGGAGTTAGTCAATGCAGAATCAGAGCATTCTCTATAGGCAAAGCTTTCCTACAGCTATGACATCTGCATTTCTCTGAAGCAGAGCCCTTCTAACTTACCTTGAGCTAGGCATGTATTCAATGGATGGTCTCTCTCACCTCTAGGCTTTTCAGCACTGGATATAGAATTCCCTCCACCTAGCAAGAGGCACCAGGATGGCTGTAAGAAATTACTTAGACTCAGCCTCCTTACTTCAGTATTACCTCATTTCAGACTTCCTATACATCTGGGAAAGGAGAACTTATAGATCTGTCTTACTCTAGGATGTTTTATATAGTTCACTGGTATCCATAATGTGTATTCCTGAGATATAAATAATCCCCTTTGATAAAGTCACAAGATACTCTCCCCATGTAAGAGTCTCCCATAGGAAACTAAAACCTGAATGAAGGCTGCCCACATTTGCCTTCTGTTTCATCTGTCATCAGCTAATGTTTCTGATGTATGTCTTGTCAACTAAGAATCATAAGGCTTACCTAAAATTGCCAGAAAGTCTCATAAGGAATCAGATACAATAATGAACAGCCGCAGGCTATATTGGAAACCTTTGCACTACAGGTGGTATTCTGGAGATGTTCTGGAGATATTTTGGGCTCACATTCGTTTGTGTGGACTTTTCCAGTCTAGGATTTTTCTTTCTATATTAATCCTGCATTTCACCAAAAAATGCATCTCATGTATCTACTGCATATTTGACATGTTCAGGACATGGTGATTAGGTGCTTCAGACTCTGCACATATAAGTAAAACAGCACCTCGAGTCTGCTGGCTGGTAATAAGTAACTGCCCAGCATTGTAACATGAATATCATCCTGGCTCCAAACAAATTCATTTCATCAGGAAATCAGTGTTTACATTTTTTTAGAGACAAGATTTTGTGGCATTTGAGATATATATTAAAGAATGGAAAAACTCTTCAACTGGACTGAAGTATGTAGGTGGGAAGAAAACATTCTAAACAGAAGGAATGGCTTGTGTGGGAGTTTGGATCCTGGGATCTGTTTGGGCATTAGGACAAACTGTCCTTGAACATTAAAAATATAAGCAGACAGAAAGGAGAGTGGCAACAGAGAAGGCTAAAAATACATGTTGTGGCCAGATTTTTCAAGTGTCTTTACATACAGCATGAAGAATGTCTATTTAATTTTTTTTCTTTTTTGGTCAGTCGTGGGGCCTAAACTCTGGGCCTGGGTGCTGACCCTCAGCTCTTCAGCTCAAGGCTAGCCCTCTACCATTTGAGCCATTGCACCACTTCCGGCTTTTTCTGCTTATGTGGTGCTGAGGAATCCAACCCAGGGCCTCATGCATGCGAGGCAAGCACTCTGGCCACTGAGTTACCTTCCCAGCCCCTCTCGAATTTTGCAGACAGTAGTTAGGAACAGGAGAGCCTTGAGTAGCATTAGGAATTCCGCTTGGGAGGCAGTTGCTGGTGTTCAGCTGTGTAGAATACCTGTGCAGGAGGGCCCCAGAGTCCAAAATGAGATTGTGGCAGGAGGAATCCAAAGAGGAAAACAGACCAGGTATCCAAGGCTCATACTTATAATCCTAACTCCTAGAGGCTGAAAGCTGAATTGTCCCAGTTCGAAGCCAACCTGGGCAGGGATATAAGTAAAAATCTTATTGCCAATTAACCAGCAAAAATAAAACAAAACAAAAAAAATGGAGCCGTGGCTCACGTGATACCAGCCTTGAGCAAAACAGCTAAGAAACACCATCCAGGCCCTGAGTTCAAGCCTCAGGTCCAATACCTCCTGCCCCCCAAAAATGGGAAATCAGATCTGCAAGACATTTCCAAGACCTTCTAGTCTTGGCAATGCTATGATTTGGGGGAGAAACACTGGCCAGATTTTGTGCCTACGTGACAGGAAATTGCAGTGGCATTAACAAAAGACAGCAAGAGAGTAATAGACGTGGGACCAAAAGTTCTCTTTAAGACATTTTGCTTTTGAGGATATCCAAGGGGCAAGTAAACAGTCACACGGAGAACTTGTGGAGCAGTTAAAAGCCATCTATAGAGATGCAAAAACAGGAGAAAGTAGAACTACCAGCAACTTAGGAGCTGCAGAAAAAAAATCAAACATAAAGACTAAGGATGGCTGCACATCCCTGTCTAGCCTCTGCATCTAGTCACCACGTCATCCCAAGTTTTACTAACATCTGGAAGTTCTTCTCAATTAAAAAACCTTAATAGGACAGACAAAGCCGGCTTAGGCAGGAAGGTCTCTGAGACTCTTATCTCCAATAAACTACTCAGAAAAAGCCAGAAATGGCGCTGTGGCTAAAGAAGTAGAGGACTTGCACTGGTCTCAAAGAAGCTCAAGGACAGCACCCAGGCCCTGAGTTCAAGACCCAGGACCAGAAAAAAAATTGCCAGGTCCTGGTCCTAACTACTCAGGAGGCTGAGATCTGAGGATTGCAGTTCAAAGCCAGCTCGGGCAGGAAAGTCCATGAGACTCTTTATCTCCAAATAACCACTCAAAAACTGCAAGTGGCATTATGCCTCAAGCTGGGACAGCACCCAAGACCAGAGTTCAAGGCCCACCACCAACCAAGAAAAAAAAAAAGAAAGAAATATAGGATGGGCCAAGTCTAACAAATGCCTTCTACTTAAACATTTCAGAGGTATCAGATAATATTAAAAGAGTATGTTCATTTCTTGTCAATTTTTGTCTATTGAATTTACTTGTTTTAAAATGAACCTGTTTTTCTAACTTAGGAAACACACTTAGCTACTTCCCTCTTCCGAAAGAGTGTCTTTGATCTGTAGCCTTGATGATGGTTTTCTGCTCAACAATTTTCAATCACTTTGTGAAACTAGAAGAAATTTAAGATTCAAAATAACTGAAGAATGAAAACTTCCTTTTATGGTTTATATTTCCAGAATATTCTCCAACGAGAGATGCATAGGAAATGAACAAATACTTTAACTGGGATATCTAAAGTTATGAATACAGTTTGTTAACTTTAGACCATGTTCCTAAGCTGTACTCCTTCCATGATTCAAATTTAGCTTGCTTTTGGAAAGGTGCGGGGAGGGCCAGGAAAACATGATGCAGAAACAAGAAAAGAGACCATGCTCTAAACCCATCATTTCCTTTGTGTTTTCTGAAGGTCAAATGCTGTAAATACTGGCCAGATGATACAGAGATATATAAAGACATTAAAGTTACTCTAATAGAAACAGAGCTACTGGCAGAATATGTGATAAGAACATTTGCTGTTGAGAAGGTAAGTATAAAAGCTATAGTGATCCTATTGTCACTTCATAAACTCACTTGGGTAATCTATCCCTGGTGGTACCTCAATGCAGATAGGCTCTGTCTGTTACTGTCTCAAAGCTACATCTTGCCTTCTGATTCTATAATGTAGCTCAGTTCCATCTTTAAAGTAAATCATTACCATTTCATAACTATCTTTATGTTTTGCAACTGAACACAAGGCAGTGTCTACGTTATTCTGATCCTGGTTGATATTATTTTGCCCATCTCTCTGTTCACAGAATAAATTTGGTTAAACTTTGATAAATGCCATCCCTGTTTGATAAATTTCTTCTACCTTGAATATCTATCTAAGGTTCCCAGTAGGAGTAAGGATCAGTGCTCAGACACAGGTCCCAACTCCTCCTGGAATCCCTGAAGCTTTTTAGGCCTGCAGGTCAATATGGATTGAAGTGGTATCTAGACAAAAGTAGATCTTCCTGGAAACCCAAGTGACCAGTCTCCATCAAACACCAGATACTGTTGCATGAGCCAACTCCTTCATTCATACTCACACCCATCCTACTGTATCTTTCTGGAGTTGCTAGTGTTGGGTCAGTGAATGCTGAGCTTTAGTTCTACCCTGCCTCATCCCATATGCATGGATGGGGCATCTTCTCTGGGAAGCATTGTAGGGCATAACAGGGAATTTCCTTATTCCCTCTCTTTCTGCTGACATAGGGAGGGGCCGGAGGTGAAGCAAACTGCAGTCCATCCAGAGAAGTGCCACAGGTAGGCTGTGGGGAAGGTGGAGGTGAGGCGGCTGAAAGAACTCTCTGCCTTCCAAACGCCCACACCAGCTTTTCCATGGAGAGCTGATTCTTCAGAACTGAGCCTTGAATGGACTTAGCAATTTTGTCATGAACTTGTTCTGCTTACACTCTTGAATGGTAGCGGCTCTCCTTGGGGGTCCTGGATTATAAGCAGGCTGCTGGCCAGTTGGCTCCTGACCTCCTCTTTGTTCTATATTCTCATTGTGTCTAAGTGTACTTTTTGGATTAAGAAAACCATATTGTGTTTAGGAAATGAAGGAAATTGTAGCACCTGCTTATTGGCTAATTGATGCTGATGATTTGAACTATCATTCTTGATTTGCAAATCCAAATTTGTCATAGTATGGCAAGGCTGAAAAGACTTTAGTTCTTTTAATCTGTTTCTCTTACTATTTAACTTTTTTTTCAGCCTGTCTTTTAAAATAAGCAGGCAGGAGGCTTGGAGACTTCAAAGAATGTGAAGTTCTGGTTGACTCATTCTTCAAGTTCTGAATCTCACACTTTGATGTTGATTTTTTTTCTTTCTTAGGCAGGATTTGGGGGAAAATTTTGTGGCCGATTTTTGTATGGCTCTTGGCAAGAACACTCATGAATAACTGCATTAAAACAGTGATAAAAGACCCTCACTATTTTTTTCTTAAGCCATCACTTAAACCCTGAGTTCTTTGAACAATAGTTGGCTCTCTAAAAAGCTGAAAAATGCATCTGTGTTTCTCAAGAAAGGGCTTGTTTCTTTACTCTTTTTTTAACCTCTTATTGTGCTTAGCTGCACAGCACTGCTTCTGAAACACCCAGTTATTTTAGACATCAGACAAGCAGTGAGGAAGTGGTATAAGGAAGAGAAGGAGGAGAAGCCTTTGAATGCACCGGGGGAATCAAAATGACATGTTAGTGATTTTCTAACTGAGCAGTTAGAATCTTGGAGGAAAACAATGCATTGAATGTAGACTTGAAACTTTCTCATTAAAACCACTAGCCGGGAGCTAGTGGTTCATGCCTGAAATCTTAGCTACTCAGGAGACTGAGATTTTAGGATTGTGGTTCAGAGCCAGCCTGGGCAGAAGAGTCCATGAGACTCCAATCTTCAATTAACAACCAAAAAGCCAGAAGTAGATCTGTGGTTCAAGTGGTAGAACACGAACCTTGAATGAAAAAGCTAAGCCCCAGTACCAACACAAAGAAAAAAGTAATTAGGTGTTTGCTTAAGATTCCTGCAATTCTGATTCCAAGCACATATTGCAACAGGAACCTAAAGGTGAAAAATGGATTTGGACTCTCTTCTGCAAAATGAGCAGACAGTTGCAATTTGAAACAGATGAATTCCTCTTTTGCATCTGATAGTTGTCTTTCCTTACCCACAAGTGTGATTGTTTTACGAATCATAGAATATCCATGTTAAAAGAATGTCCATAACATTCCCATAGACCTAGGCTGTAAATACCATCTCCCTGCCTGTCCTGGCAATAGCTACCAAAATCTCCTACCTGTTACTCTTAGAAGCCTGTTTGGAGGAGCCTGTTTCTCTGAGAAGGCAGTGGAATATGATCCTGTGTCAGAGACAGAGCTTGCACTTAGTGATTAGGTCACCCACTTTGGGATAAGTGCTATAGAACATCGGTTTTCTTTTCCCATTGTATTACATGGAAAAATTAAATGGCTATTTTTTATGTAGTATTAGTGCTGTTATAATGAAACCTAAAGAAAAATATAATTAACATTACATTTCCAGTTGAGAACTATTGGGGCTGTGATTGCCGGTTGCATCTATGGCTTTCATCCCCAACCTCTTACAAAACAGCAAAAGGAGAAGCTGCTGTGCCCATGAATAAGAATGAAGGTTAGATGAGAAGCAATTTCCTTTGCTAATCTAGTCAGTAATGAACATATTAAAAGGTGGAGATTTATTGTAAAATGGGTTTTCTGCACTGTAGAAACTGACATTTACCTACTCTAAAAATGAGTCTTAAAGATATTGTTGGGAGCCCCTCTCACAATGGACAGAGCTTGGGTTTAGTGATGCTACAGCTGAATCTAATAAAGAATGAACTGCTTGTTTTCTTATTTGCAATAAGTCAGTATTTATTGCCAACACTTCCCTAGTTCTTGTTTATCCAAACCCATTGTTAGTGATTGAGAAACAGGGGTTCAACTGTATGACTTCCATTGGAGATTTTGAGGCTGCCAAAAGTTCACCTTCTTTTTTCAGCAGTAGGAATTTTTGGTTTTTAAGTATCTAGTACTCTGGTCTGGGTCAGTGAAATAGACAACACCGTTTATTTGTATTATGATTTTCTGACCATTTGAGTTCCTTACTGCTTAAACTTTTTTTAAAGAATAGCATTTTATAGTAAAACAAAAGAAAACAAATCAGACATTTTTGTGGATTATTTTCTTACTGAGTCATGGTAACACAATGATAGCAAACAAGTCTTATCTTAAAATCTATACTTGTTTGCTTTGTCATATCTTTCCAAGCATGTGAAAATGCTGAATTTATTCTTTGTTTGCCAAATATGTATGAATGATGGATAGAAAATACGATAGTGTTAAAGTGTGTTTACCTTTAAGATGAAATAAAATCAAAGTCAAGACCTGAGCAGAGGCAATATTCAGTCAATGCTTATCCAATGAGAAGACAGAACAAATCAAATTTGATCCCAGATATTATGTGACCTTGGTTATTTTTGTTTTCAAAACAGATTTTTTTCTTAAAAGAGTCCTAAAGGTTTGTGGTTAGAAAACAAAGCTAATGGGTATGAATCAACTTACTTTTAAAATAAGAGCAAATTACAAAGCAAAACAAGCACAAAGTCTCATTCCTTTCTCCTCCCTTCAGTTCAGTGGCCTACAGCTACACCTCTGCTTCTTCAGTTTACTAGTCTAAGAGAAATTCCAGCAAAACACCCCTCAATTCCCATGATAGGCATTTGCTGGCATGTCTGTTTCCCACAGGGAAAGCAACTTAAAGACAGGAGGTGATACCTCCATATCTCTATAGGTTTAGTATCTAAAGTAGTAGGGTTACAAAATTTTTAATGAGTGGGATGGATGAATTAAGTGTCAAACCATTTAAAAGCCACACAACAAACTGGGTTGCAATGGAAATTAGTTCCCTGACAGATCTGGTTGGAAAGTATTCCTTTGCTTGCACAGTGTATATGCCCTAGAGTACTTGGTATAACGAGGTACGAGGCAGGGGAAGGAGCCTGCATTTCAACTGTGGTGAAAATGAGTTCTCTGACATATACTGTTAGAAAGCAGTTCTCTGGTTGTACAGTGCATATGCCCTGGAGTACTTGATACAAAGAATAGTAGGATACAGAAGATCCAGGACCAAGTCCTGCATCCCAGGAGCTGATGTTGAAAAAATTTTAATGTAGTCTGATTTATAGACAGGAATTTTGAAGAACTAATGACAGCATCCACATACGGAAATGTGCATGCAAATTAGCATGCTCCCCAAACATGACCCCCGCTTTCACATCTACAACCATCTTTCTAAAGTGTCCAAAGCCTTCCAGATTGTTTGTTAAATCTATGAGTGACCTTCTTCGCCAGAAATTCAAGGCTCTCCAGCCCTAGACTTAACTCCTGAGGGATGTGTTAGGGTGCTGGTTGCTCTTGCTTATCATTTATTTTCCTTTGTTCTCTTCTGCATCGTGGCTGTTCTACCATGGATTGCAGAGAGGTGTTCATGAAATCCGAGAGATCAGACAGTTTCACTTCACTGGCTGGCCGGATCATGGGGTTCCCTACCATGCCACTGGCCTATTGGGATTTGTCCGGCAGGTCAAATCCAAGAGTCCACCCAATGCAGGCCCATTGGTAGTCCACTGCAGGTAAGTGAAACTCCCATTGCCTCTTACGCAGAGATGGGTTCGGGAGCTTATAGAGGGTGATGAAAATGTTTGGAACTGGATAGAGGTGAATGTGTCTAATGCCTGAATTGTATACTTCTAATGGTTCATTAATTTAGATTTTAAGAAGTACGGTAGTTTTTCTCTACTGATAGACCCTCTTTTCCTGCAGTGCTGGTGCAGGAAGGACTGGCTGCTTCATTGTCATTGATATCATGTTGGACATGGCTGAAAGGGAAGGGGTGGTGGACATCTATAACTGTGTGCGGGAGCTGCGGTCACGGAGAGTGAACATGGTGCAGACAGAGGTATCACAGTCCACCCTCCATCCCATGGCCTGGTCTCCAGTATCTCTCCTCCATTCCCACCTCCTAAGGTCACAGGCAAAACAAAGCCTGTCAACTGTTTCTTCTAAATGACCTAGGAGTAAAAGTGGTGTGCCTGGCAATTCTGTTTCCTTCTTGCCCCTCCTTTCTGTTGTGTTCTTGTTCCTTTCATAAACAAAAAAGGAGTTTTCCAGGTGACGGAATCTTTAGCCAGGAGCTAATTCTCACATTTTTCTGTGTCAAGGGAACCAGTAGAGTCTCTACATTAAGCATTCAAGGTTTCAGTACCTTTTTTTAAATTTTTATTATTCTACCTTTTAAACTAGCTGGGAACCAGAGCAAGACCACTCGAGAATAACTAGGCTTCTATCAAATGGCTTTAGAGTAGTCTCTGTACATTTTATTCTTCTCCAGGGTACTAGGAAGAACTCATTATTTTCCTGTCCCTAAACATTCTGCCCAGTGGCCTAACATCATGGGAATTTGCCCATTTTGTAGAAGTCTTTGGTAAATTGAAATTCAAAGTGATTCCAGAATTTAAATTTTTGAGAAGTTTTACGTCTGGTACTAAGAATTTCATCTTTTTATTAATATTTGGTCCCTGTAAGTAGACCTTACAATCTAGTACCTTGAAAAGGACCCATAAAGGAGAACAAAGAATAATAAATAAGAATCCTTATGTTGAGATTGTGCATAAAAGCTGTGAACACCACTGGGAAATCTAATCCATTCTTTTAGCCAGCATAAAAATAAAAGAAATTGTAAATGCTGCTTTGTGGTCTCTTTAGGGTAGAGATACTTTCTTTTAAAGATAATAATAAAAAAAACTAAAGCCAAAAACAGGCTGGTGGGTTGACACAAATAGTAGAACACCTGCCTAGCAAGTAAGAAGCACTGAGTTCAAAATAATAATAAATAATGGAAAAGTTACTAATTGGTTATAAGAAATGTCTCTGTCTAGTCTAGTCAAAATTAAATGACTCATTTTTATGCACATTTGCTTTTTATTTCTTTTGTAGTATAGGGGAATCAAACCTAGGACTTCACACTTGTAAGACAGGTGCTTTGCCGCTGAGCTACACCAGCAGCTATGGAGTACCCATTTTTTTTTTTTTGGGGTCCGGTCGTGGGGCCTGAACTCTGGGCCTGGGCGCTGTCCCTCAGCTCTTCAGCTCAAGGCTAGCACTCTACCACTTGAGCCACAGCGCCACTTCTGGCTTTTTTCTTTTTGCTTATGTGGTGCTAAGGAATCGAACCCAGGGCCTCAGGCATGCAAGGCAAGCGCTCTACCACTGAGCCAACTTCCCAGCCCTGGAGTACCCATTTTTAAACGATACACTGAATGTATACATGTAAAGCAGCTATACTCTACTCTGAATGTATAAGAGCTTTTACTACTTTGGCCTTAGTTGATATTTTAAATAATTGGTTCCCAGTATTCAGAACGGCTTGTCCTCAGTGCAATGTCAAGCTTTTCTCTTCATTTAGACTGTTAATTTAAGTAGCAAGTTCTCTTTTCAACATAGAAAAATTCTGCTCATTCCTCATCTGAACAATGAAGTTCCAATTCATGGCATCGGAATTTTAGAGGTTTTAGTCAACATAATCACAATGATAGTGTGCCTGCTCTGAGTTACATAAATACCTGTGGCTTTGTATAATTCCCCATGATTCCAGAGTATATCAGTCAGGTAGCATACCAGCTGTGCCATGTGAGAGTCAGGATTACTACCACTGAAAAACCTATGCTCCTGGCATCCAGGCAGGACCACAAAGTCAGTCAGTCTGTCTGTCTGTCTGTCTCTGTGTCTCACTCTGTGTGTCTCTCTGTCTCTCTGTATCTCTTTCTGTCTCTGTCTCTGTCTGTCTGTCTGTCTGTCTCTCTCTCTCTGTTGAGAACACGGTTTCCATTATCTTGATGGTGTGGGGCTAAAATCACTACTGTCTTCTCTCACTCTCACTTTCTGGGGCTACCTTGGTTTCCCCATCACTGACCAGTACCCTCTGTTTCTCCAGGAGCAGTATGTGTTTATCCATGATGCAATCCTAGAAGCCTGTCTTTGTGGAGACACCTCCATCCCTGCTTCCCAAGTTAGATCTCTGTATTATGATATGAACAAACTGGACCCACAGACAAACTCAAGCCAGATTAAAGAGGAATTCAGGGTAAGACAGACTAAAGGGGGAAGCAGTTGGCTGTGACTTTGTGTCTTAGAAAGTATCTCAAAGTCAATTTGGAACCTTTCAATCAACACAAGGTTCCCCAACCTCAGCACCACTGGCCTCTGGGGCCACGTTGTAACTTTGCTGTGGAATTGTCCTGTAGGATATTTAGCACTATCACTGGGCTCAAGATGTCTATGTCACCAGTGCCATGCCAAACACTTGTGCAAACACCACCATGTTCCCTGGGGCACAGGAGACAAAATTACCTGGTTACAAAACATTGGTCTAATGGGCCATTTACATTCTAAGTGAATACCAAATAGGCCTCCGCACAGGAGCCTATGTTCAGAGTGTAACTAAGCATGGGTGCAGTAAAGTAATGGAAGTGCATGTGTCAGGAATAGTTGGTGGGCATCCATAGATCTTCCTGCAGATATAAAACCCATATTCAGGTTTTACCTCAATGGGCTGGACCCTCTCCCAGCCTCTGCCCTCCCAATCCTTAGGTGTCCAGTCATCCTACAGTGTCGTCACCCCTTTTATGGATCTGCCCCTGGGCCTTGTGTTTCATAAGTACTTTTGATACACAAAATCTAAAGAGAGGGAAAAAAGTCTAAGTGGGATGGTATTGAGGTGGGGATAGGGTGGCCCATCTTGCAGTCAGCTACAGATTTGAATCTTTTATATGCTGGACAAGAGACAAATATACTGTGAAGCTCCACTTGTGCTCTGTGCTTTTTAAACACAATAATGTTGTTTATTTAACCCACGATAGTATATTCTTCCCTTATGAGACACATCGTAACTGTACATATTTGTGGGATAAAGTGTGTCATTTCCATGGGCTTATCAATGCTATCGACCAAGTCATCGCAAGGATAAAGTCTTTCATCTGTCTTAACCTGGCTGAACCTAAATCCTGTACCTTCCTTTTGTCTCTTAGACCTTGAACATGGTGACACCAACACTGCGCGTGGAGGACTGCAGCATTGCACTCCTACCCCGGAATCATGAGAAAAACCGGTGCATGGACATCCTGCCCCCAGACCGCTGCCTGCCCTTCCTCATCACCATCGATGGCGAGAGCAGCAACTACATCAATGCTGCCCTCATGGACGTAAGTCCTCTCTCTGCCTGGGGAAAAAGTCCTGCATGTGCAGACCTCACCCCTTCGAAGGCACAGACCAGTTTCCAACAAAATAAAATTTCAGAGCCATGCATGTCTTGTGATCTCTCAGAGGCCACCCAGAAGTGCACACATTGTAGTGACTCTGAACACAGATTAACCTTCTGGCTGAGATCAAAGCAGCAGCTGTTCAGTGGTCAGGACCATGGCCTGGAAAGGGACTGGCTGCATTATTTTCAATCCCTGTTCTCCTAATTTAAGCAGTAATTAACATGGAAAGAAAGCACAACTCATTACTTCCTGTCAGTCTGTTTACTTTTGGCTATTGAATGGATGAGAAAGTAAATGGCTATTTTCAGTGCTAATGTGGAAATTGTCATTCTGTTGATGTGATATATAACGATAAATTTGCTAGTGCTTTCCAGAAGGCGTGTATATCATGTGTGTTTCCTCTATTGGCAGGAATAACTAGCAACATCATACATACAAATGACAACCAAACCCGTTTTAGGAAAAGTTGAACTGTTTTCATTATGCATAACTTTTAAAGTAAACTTAAATAACATTAAATATGAACATATTTAATAAACAATAAAATAGTTAATGAATAAAGCCAGTATTGGCTTTCTATCAGAAACATAAATATTTGGTAAGAAGTATTTGATGTTTTCTTGGTATTAAAATGAGAATATTTCAACATTATATTGAGGCTATTCTGAAGTTGAAAATGTTGACAGATTTCAACGATCGATAAATATGTTCAGCGTTTTTGTGCCATCCATTTTCACATGCATAAAATAGCTTCCTCTCTTCACATTTTCCTTGGTATATTTGGTTCTTTCTTATTTATATTTGCAGAGCTATAAACAGCCTTCAGCTTTTATCGTCACCCAGCATCCTTTGCCAAACACGGTCAAAGATTTCTGGAGACTGGTCTTGGACTATCACTGCACATCAGTAGTTATGCTCAATGATGTGGATCCTGCCCAGGTGAGTCCCAGAGGTTATTGTAACAGGGGTCATCCATGTGTGTTCTGCACATTAACATTTGCAGACTGCCATGCCAAAGTTGAAATGCCAGTTGATAATTGAGAACTGAGGATACTGAAACACTTGTATTCAAAATCAGACACCAGTGGCTCACACCTGTGAACCTAGCTATTTATGAGACTGAGATCAAGAGATCTCAGTTCCAAGGCAGACAGAGCAGTAAAGCCTGTGGGATTCAATGTCCCATTAACCACCAAAAAGACAAGCTAGAGATATCACTCAAATGGTAGTGTGTCAAGCCATGAGCAAACAAGCTGAGAGTGTGAGGCCCTGAGTTGAAGTCCCAGTACTAACAGACAAACAATCAGGCACTACGAAGGACTGGAGGAGAAAGTCAGTAGAAACCCAAAAGACATAGAGGAAGTAACAAAGCAAGAAAATGTCAGAAATTAGGTTATCCCCAAAGAAAAGGAATATAGCAGAGCCAAAGCTGACAAGAACTCAAGCATCTGGCAGAGCAAGCAAACTGAAAGACAGTAGAGATAGGACACACTTCTGTTCCCACCTGAGTGGAGGGACTTACATGCTTCCTAACACTGTTCACTGAGAGTGGGGAATATCAAAATAGGGGGTCAGTGGAAATAAGCAAGGGAGTTTAAGGAATGGCAATTAGTTTTGTCAACTCTTTTTTTTATTGTGAAAATACTGTACAGGGGGGTTACAATTACATGGGCAAGATAATGAGTACATTTCTTATCAAGCATTGTAGCCTCCTCCTTTGTTTCCCCTTCCCATCCTCCCCCCACACCCCTCACCAAAGTTATAAAGTTTGTTTTCAACATAATGACTTGTACATCTCATTGTTGCAATGGGTCCACCTGTATCCCTAGTTAAACGATTTGTTTTTTCCCTTCCCCTCCACAAATTATACCAACATCAAATACAGTGAAAGCAGGGGTTATACCATGGGGGAGAGACATACAAAGCAACAAAGAAATAATCTTATAAATGTGTTAGAAACAATCGCATGAAAGAAAAAACATTTGAATACATATCTTAGGGTTCATTTCCCTAACATCAACTTATCTGACCTTTTCTGCTTGCCTCAGACATATACTAGTTATTGCAAATAAGAGAAACCATGGGACCTATGTTTCTTTGGGGCCAAAATGTGCCACATGGAATTCTATGCCTCCATCAGAAAGAATGACATTGCCCCATTTGTTTTGTCAACTCTTGAATAAAGATATTAGAAAAAAAACGAAACTAGGACTTGTAAATAAAAGAAGTTCAGAATGACAAATGGGGTTTCTCTTAAGCAGAAAAAGAGAATTGAATAGGATAATTCACCATTAAAAGTGGGGCTTAGATGGGCCTGTCAGAAGGGTGTTGGCACCAAGGCTTCATAGGAACCGAATTTATCCCAATCACAAACTTTATTACCATGACGAGGGTATAAGAGAGGTCAGAGTTAGCATATTTTAAGAATACGGTGGAGGTGGGAGGGAAGGGATGGTAAGAGAAAACAAAGGAAGAGGCAACAATGCTTGATAAGAAATGTACTCATTACCTTACTCATGTAGCTATAACCCCTCTGTACAGTATTTCTATAATTAAAAAAAACTCAAAAAAAAAGAATAACCTTGCTAAACCAGGTGCCAATGACTCATACCTGTATACTCAGGAGGCTGCAATCTGAGGAGCAAGGTTTGAAGCCAGTCCAGGCAGGAAAGTCCATGAGACTCATCTCCAATTAACCACCAAAAACAATACTAGCTTTCAGCAAAAAAAATATCAGGGACAATGTCTAGGACCTGAGTTCAAGCCCCAAGACCAGCACCAAAAAGAAAAAAAAAGAGAGAGAGAATAGATTTGCTGTGAAGCTGAGTTGATTTCCTAAGTAGTAGAGACAATTTCCAATTTAAAAAAAATTGATGGGAAGAAAATACATTGTAGGAGATTATAGGAAGGAGACATCTTGTCCAGTGTAGAAGCTAAAATACTTTGACTTTTTATTTTTAAATCATGGCAAACTTTATTGACATAGATCACAAGAACTGAAATGGAAAGAGGCAGCACATGGACACGGAGGTTTATGGGTTTTTAACTGTTTAAGGCATTGCATTATATTGTTAAGTCTCTCTTGAGATCAAGTTAATGAAATAATAATGATAACTACCCTTATTATAGTCTTTTTGGCTTAAGAAGCTTAAATATTTTAGAACTCTTCCCTGCCAAGGCCGCAGAGGGTAGACCACAGCCTTTACAACACACACGGTTCAAAATAGAAGCCAGGAATCTGGCTTTCTGAAAGATTTAATTCATAGTACCACAGGTTAAGTTTCATTGATTCTAGATTTTTTTGGTCATGGAATGAGAACCATCCTGATGTTTTTTTTTCCTGATGAGAATCCTGCAACATGGTGACCTATACTGCTTTTGTTCATGTTAGTGAACAGGACATTAGAGATGCTAGCATGTTGTTAGTGAAGCTTCATTCTAAACCCAAACTGCCTGTTCTCCAACCATGTTTTGGCTGACTGATGGCAGAAACACAAAAAGACTCCCAGTTTTATTCAGTAGACAGAGCAGGTTTTCAGAGTGAGAGAAAAGAGGCTCTCGGGACTTAGTCTTTTAGTGAACACTAAACTAAGCATTTGAACTTAGAGGCTTTGCAACCGTACAAGAGCAGCACTCAACTATTTTTAAGTATTTATAGGCTTGGTGCATGGATGTGTTATGCACCATTTAAGCCATTTTCTACATGGTTTCCTTGGGCAGAGTGTAGGACGCCATGTGCCAAGAGCCAGGCGCCAGCCCGGGCCATTGATATTTCCTTGGTATAAATGACAAGCTTTTGATCAGGCACTTGAACTGAGAGAAGCAGCAGAAAGCAAAGCTGGCTCAGTCAGTAGGAAAATAGACAGAACAGTTCAAATGGGCATGTTACAGCTTTTATTACTGTCTTGGCTTCCCATCATCATGCTTATTAATTTTAACAGTGGGTGCCCCTTAGTATCAAAAAGAAAATAAGAATCAGTGTGCTATTGTTTGGCAAGGCAAGTTTAATAACTTGTCACCAGGAAGTACTAGTAAGGAAGGAAAATTTTCATGGAAGCATTATTTTAAATAAATGTGGCTTCTAAAATACAATCCATGTAGCTAACATAAAAAATACCCTACTTGTATTCCTAAAAGTCCAACATTTAGCTGTTTTGTGTGCTAATGCTGGGACTTGAACTCAGGGCTTGAGTGCTCTTAGCTTTTTTTGCTGATGTGCTAAATTTGAGCCACAGCTCCACTACCAGCTTTTTTGGTGGTTAATTGGAGAAAAGAGTCTCAAAGACTTTCCTGCTGGAAGCATAGAATTCCATTGTGTATGTATTCCACATTTTTTTGATCCATTCATCCACTGAGAGGGCATCTGGGTTGATTCCATATCTTGGCTACGGTAAACAATGCTGCAATGAATATGGTCGTGCTGGTGGCTTTAGTGTAGCCCAGTTTGTGGTCAGTTGGATATATGTCCAGAAGTGGGATTGCTGGATCACAGGGAAGTGCTATGTTTAGTATTTTGAGGAATCTCCATACTGCTTTCCAAAGTGGTTGAACAAGTTTACATTCCCATCATGAAGTAGTGTTCCCTTTTGGACACATCCTCACCAGCATTTGTTAACACTTTCCCATTCATAAGGAAATGGAAAGATTTGGGAAAAAAGTATACTAAATAAAAGAAAGCCAAATCCAAAGAAACATAGGCTGCATTATTTCCCTCATTTGTAATAATTAAGATGGAGAGTAAAGGACAAATAACTACACCTGGACATGATTAATAAACAAGCCAAACACTCACATAGTGAGAATAAGGAGGCTCTTCTTAGGAAAGGATCACAGGGGCGTAAAAGCTATGTGCTCAAGATCATATAAAATTATGCTTATTGAAATGAATTCCAAGAAATGGAAATTTTTTATCATATTGTTTGTGGTTCTTTTTTTTCTCTTCTTTCCTTTTTTTCTTTGGTTTATTCCCTCCTGTCTCTGTTTTTGAGTTCTGTACCCTTTGTCTTGTATAAAAGTTTATCTGAGTTGGGGAGGGGAAGAGGAAGCACAGAAATGGTGGGACAAAGGGTGAACCAATTCAACAATGAGGGCTGGGAAGGTGGCTCAGTGGTAGAGCGCTTGCCTTGCATGCATGAGGCCCTGGGTTCAATTCCTCAGCACCACATAAGCAGAAAGAAAAAAAAAAGAAACAAATTCAACAATGATACTTACTAGACACTATACTGGAAATGAACTTTATACTTTGGGGGGAGAGGAAAGTTGGGAGGGGAAAAACTGGGAAAGAATGAGGGAAGGAGTGACACTATTCAAATTGAAATATACTCATTAACTGAATCATATAACTGTAACCCCTCTGTAAATCACCTTTACCATAAAATAAAATAAAAGAGACTTTGCTGCCTGGGCTTGTCTTCAAATTGTGATCTTCAGATCTTTGCCTCCTGAGTAGCTAGAATTAAAGGTACAAACCACTTATGCCCAGCTTAATCTTTAGCTTCTTTATCATGAAAAGAAAGAAAGAAAGGTAGCTGTTTAAGTTAATTAAGTTAGCTGAGAACATCTCTTGCAATTTTGGATATAAATCAATCTTTGCAATATTTAACTAAATGGATCAAAAAAAAATTACATGGTTGGACGCCAGTGGCCAACACCTATAATCCTAGCTACTCAGGAGGCTAAGATCTGAGGATCATGGTTTGATGCTAGCCCAGGCAGGAAGGTCCATGAGACTGTTATCACCAATCAATTAATTACCAAAAAAAAGCCACAAATGGAGCTGTTTCTCAAATGCTAGGACACTAGCCTTGAGCAAAAGAAACTCAGGGGCAGTGCCCAAACATTGAGTTCAAGCCCCAGTCTGACACAAAAAGAGTTGGGTGGTTTGTTTTGTTTTGTTTTGTTTTTTATGAAGGTCAGGCACCAGTGGCTCATTCCTGTCTGATGCAGAGGCTGGGATCTAAGATTAAAGATTTGAATCCAGTCCAGGCAGACAAAACTACACACACTTTTTTCCAGTTAACCAGCAAAAAGTCAGAATTGTAGGCATGTTCAAGTGGTAGAGCACCAGCCGTGACTATAAAAGCTAAGGGAAAGTGCTCAAGCTCCAAGGCCAAGCCCCAGTACCAGCACACAAAAAAAGTTAATGGAAATTAAACAGTAGATTTACCTTTTGTGTTCAATCATCTTGCTTAAAATGAGATGTTAGGCTGTTTATCTTTTCTCGCCCCATACAACAGGTTAGAAAATCACAGAGTGGCTCTCCTCTTGCCTTGCCACAAGTCATCTGTTCCTCAGGTGAATCAGAAAGATAAAAGTTAAAACATACCACTCCAAAACAGGCCTCTAGAATACCAAGCCCCAAAGGAAGTTTGTTTTCAAACTTTAAATGACTATTGAGGCTTTAGAGATCAAAGGAACAAATTTGAAGAGAAAGGATATTACTCTTCCCATCTGACTGGCTCCAGGGTTAGGAAGTTTGTAGGGTGATGACAAATGACAGTTCCTCAACAACCATGCTCAAAACTTCTCTGGCTCACTGATGTCTGCATTATGTGTGCGCAAAAGTTCTAGTCCCTTGGTAGCACCAATATTGGACTTTGATGCTCTAAAAAATTAGGAGGAGGTTTTGTTTAGTTTGGGTTTTCTGAGGCAAGGTCTCACTATGTAGCTCAGGCTGACTTTGGACTCACTATGTTTCATTGACTAGAATTCAGAAAGCCTCCTGCCTTGGCTTCCTGAATGCTGGAATTACAGTGTGTGCCAGTATGCCCAGCAGAAAAACAATTTAAAAAAATGTGTTTTTAATCAGACCACCCCTAGGTAAAATGGTGAAGACTTTTCTTTTGACAACTAGTTTCCTAGATCTGAGCTGGGAGGAGTTGAAGTAGAATCTGAAAGAGCAACCCCAGCACTGTTACTGGTTGTCCCATAACATCTACATCCCCAAGATCAGCCAGGAAGCACAGGATGGAGGTTGGACATTAGCAGGGCTGTATGTCCATAACTTTTATTGTGGCACCTGATGGCATCTCACCCAGGACTGTTTTGGTAAAATCCACATGACCTTCTGAGAATGCAGAATTGTTTATGGCTAGCAGATGTTTCCTGTGAAAATGAAGAAGAGCCTAAAAGGACGGTAGTAGTAAAGGAATCCATCATCATAAAAGGCCTAACTCTTGCTTGCTGCAAAACAGAAAAGGAAGTAAAGGATTTCATAAGGTCTTAAGAATTGCTGAATGCTGACAGTGACCTTATCCAAACTATTGAGTATATTAATTTTGATAATTGAACATGTGTTTGTTTCTATGTCTTCATTTCAGTTGTGTCCACAATACTGGCCTGAAAATGGAGTCCACAGGCATGGGCCCATCCAGGTGGAATTTGTGTCTGCAGACTTAGAAGAAGACATCATCAGCAGAATATTCCGGATTTATAATGCCGCCCGAGTAAGTGCTGGAGCCAGTATTGCTTGCTTCATTGTTTTCTCAGTCATTGAACTTGAGTTAGTCACTCTTTGTCATTCACCGTTCCAGAAATTTGTATGCCTCAGGGAACAAAATCTTAGGGAACTTATGTTCTAACAAAAGTCAAGTCTAACAGAAGCCATGTTAAAGCAGACATTATTCGATAGTACTTGTTACTCCATAACTGAAAGGAAGACTTTACTCAGCACCACGACAGAGCAGGAACCACTGCTACAGGGTCTTGCAGTGGGTGAGAGAGCTTCGGGCGCATCTCTGAATACAGCATGGGCTAATTGGAATGGAGAGCCAAGAGAAAGTGAAGGGAAATATCAGAGATAAGGGAGAACCTTGCTGAAGATAGGCCAGGGGGATCAGATATCAGGTGGGCATTGTAAAAGCTGAGGAATCTGATCAGATATGGAGATATTTAGGTAAGGGGAGTACTAAGTTGATTTAGCAGGGATTGCTAAAATTAAGCTTCTTAAATGTGCAGGAGGCCTAAGAGAAAGCCCAGGAGCCCAACGAAAGTTTGATTAAGCAGAGAAGCTTACCAAAAGGCAGATGATAGCTGAGTGCCAGTGGCTCATGCCTATAATCCTAGCTACTCAGGAGGCTGAGAAATGAGGATCTTTGAGACTCGGTAGTTCAAAGCCAGCCCAGGCAGGAAAGACCATAAGACTCTTATCTCCAATTAAACATCAGAAAAGCTGAAAGTGGAGCTGTGGCTCAAGTGGTAGAGCACTAGCCTTGAGCACAAAAGCTCAGGGACAGTGTCCAGGCCCTGAGTTCAAGCCCCAGGACCAGCACACAAAAAAAGGACAGGCAATAAATAATAGCTGTCGTTAGAAAGTAGTCCATTTATAGGAAAAGGAGAACACATGAGGGCAATGGTCAGGAAAGAAGCCAGTCCCCATTTTGAATAAATGTACCATGAGAGCAAAGCCGGGAGGTTGGAGGGTGTGGCCATGCGCTATCTGGATAACTGCAAAGGCTAGAGCCCTGCCTATAGTAGGTACTTTAGGATGCTGGCCTGAGTCCAGTAGGCAAAGGCCAGAGAAGTTCCTTGTGGGAGGCAGGGATCCTGCTGGGCTTCACAGGTAACTGCTCTATTGAGGGGTTTGCTTGGGAAGAACTGGAAGCCATTACAGGATTGTTAGTAGACAAACCACACTGACATTTTCAAAGGAAGTTTCTGGCTCCTGCATTGAACAAACTGTAAGGGAAACTCATCTAACACACACCTGGATAGGTGACAAGTGACAGTGTTAAAACAGGAGTGCTTATCACCCAGAAGGTAATAGGTAGTAGAGAGATTTATGTTCCAAGGTGGAACAACCCGACCCAGTGAGTCAGAGTAACCCAAGATTTTTGTTAGAAGAACTCAAATGATGGAAATGGCATTAACTGAACTGCAAAAGGCAGGTATCACAAAAATGGGGGCACAAGTGAAGAATGGATCAGAAGGTTAGTTTTCCATATAGGAAGTTAAAGATGATTCTTTGAGCCCTAAGTGGGAATGTCAGATTGGTCTTGAGTCTATAAGGGTGACAGGAAACAACTGGAGATAAAACACAGGAGGAGGTAACAATGCTCGATAAGAAATGGACTCATTTCCTTTCTCCTTGCTCATGTAACTGTAACCCCTCTGTACAGTATCTTTACAATAAATATACATATTAAAAAATAAAAAACTTAATGATTATTGGTTATGCAGAAAATCCTGAGACTAAAATGAAATCGAGAGAGAGAGAAGAAAAAGGGATCCTAGGACTGAGGCCAGAGGCTTCTTAGAGAAAGGAGGCTGCAACAGAGGAGAGCCAGCTGAGGAGGAGAAACAGGCCCAGGGAAAGTGTTGAGAGCAAACTCGCCTGCACTGAGCGCTGCTGAAGGCTAGTCCAAGTAGTTGTCATTTTTCTAATGTCAGCGCAGGAACTCTGGTTTTTTTTGAATTCTAAAATTCTATTTAACTATGTCTAAAGATTAATTAAAACATTAATATCTTACATTTATGTCAATAAGAAAATGTAACATATTCATGGAAACACACATAGCCTATATCACACTAAGCTCAAAAATATGTACTCTTTAATTTACCTGTAATTAAAGGCACTTCCCCACATAATGCACAACGTGGTCAGTCTTGATATTATCATTCACTTGGCTTTTACAAAATATAAGCATGCTGCTTCACTTTGGCTTGTCTGTGGACTGTCATTTACAACACCTGGTCTTTTTTTTTTTTATTGCTACTCGAGATTAAAAATCGTAACTCTTCAGGCTCATAGAAGCTGCCTTGATTATTTGGTGGCCAGACTGTTCTTTAATAATGTCCTGCTCTGATCTGAAGAAAAAATAGGTGCAATCAGCCCACTGGAATTCAATAAAGAAAATATAATACCTGTTTTCACTCTCCTCCCTGATTGTTGTCTGGCTCTCTACAGCCCCAAGATGGATATCGGATGGTACAGCAGTTCCAGTTCCTGGGCTGGCCAATGTACAGGGACACACCAGTTTCCAAGCGTTCCTTCCTGAAACTCATTCGCCAAGTAGACAAGTGGCAGGAAGAATACAACGGTGGGGAGGGCCGTACAGTCGTGCACTGCTTGTAAGTACTTGTGCTCAGCAAAGCTCTTCTCAGAAGGACCAGGCAAGAGCTTAGCTCAGCTCTCTCCTCCTTTTTCCTTCCTTTGTTTCATTATAAATAGAAAAGAAGTCACACTGTCATTAAGGGCTCCATGGGCTTTCGAGAAACAAAATGAGCACATTTTGCACATTTCTTGGTCTGTTTTCTGTTTCTGTAACAAAGTACTTAAGACCAAGTAGTTTATAAACAATAGAGGTTGTCTAACTCAGGGTTTAGCAAGTTGGAAAGTCCCAAGAGTATGGACTTTGGCATCTGGTAAGGGCCTTGGTGCTGCATGCTAACATGGTAAGAGCATCACATGGTGAGACAGAACAAGTATGGTAGCTCAAGTCTTTCTTCCTTGCTCCATAAAGCCACTAATGCCACCGAGGGTCCTCATCCTCATGACTTCCTACAATCCTAATGACTTTCCAGGGATTCAGCTCTACTATATGACTTTGAGGATTATGTTTACTACACATGAACTTTGGAGGGAGCACATTCAAACTATATAGCACAAGGCATTATAAGCATTGACCTTGTGATTGAGACAATCCCATCTAAAACAAAACAAAAAGCAAAAACCAAACTTAGAACACCTGGGTAGATGCACTGGGTTCCTCCTAGTTTGGAGAGCCAAGTATTAAGTCTTTTAAGGACGTTTTTGAGCTGGTTTTCAAACTGTTGGTAACTTGAAATCATCACTAGTTGTAGCGGTTGCCTCACAGAAATCCACAGATGCTCTAAGAGCCCCCTCCTTCCACCAAAACTGGCCTGTCCCAATATTTGGTAATTCTGGGTTATTGTGTTGGAGATTTCCAAGGAATTTCATCAGTCATAGGACTTGAACTCAGGGCCTGGCTGCTGTCCCTGAGCTTTTTCACTCAAGGCTAGTACCCTACCACCTTGAGCCACAGCTCCACTTCTGGTTTTCTGGTGGCTAATTGAGATAAGAGCCTCATAGATGGTCTTGCCCAGGCTGGATTTGAACCATAATCTTCAGATCTCAGCCTCCTGAGTAGCTAGGATTACAGGTATGAGCCACTGGCACCCAGTGTCCAAGGAAATCTTTATTTGCCTTTGTAAGTTTTAGGAGAGATGTTTGCCAAAGAAAACATAGTGTTTATTGGGAGGATCAAGGATATTGGAGGAAGTTTTAAGAGGTTGGGCCTAGTGGGAGGGGTTACTGGGAGCATGCCCCAGTGGGGATGGCGGGACCCTGCTTTCCTCCATTTTCTTTGGTTTCTGGCCATGAGGTAAGGGGCTTTCCTCTACCACATGTTCCTACCATGACGTTCTGCTTTACCACAGGCCCAAATCAACCAATCTTAGGCTAGGCCCTCCTAAGCTGTGACCCAGCATAAACCTCTCCTCTTTATAGGACTTGACCATCTTGGATGACTGTCTAACAAAGACCCACTGTCCTCACAGGCTGACCTCCTGACCAGCAGTTTTAGCAGGTGCTAAAAATATAAGAGCCTCTGCACAGATGATTTCTACCCTCACCTGTACATTGAGAGTCATTTGGGAGTTTGTGAACAACATGTGCCCTCAGGCCACATACAAATCAGTTAGATCTCAGTCTGGGGTAGAAGCCAGACATCAGTTCATTTTACAGCTTCTGGGTTATTTCCATGTGCAGTGGCAATGCAGAGTCACTGACTAAGGTGCCATGCTTTCCCCAGCACTTTCACCTGTGTTTTCTCACTGGCAGTGATAGGTAGCTAATCATCCAGCTGGAATCGGCTTCACGAAACAGGCAATTAAAAAGTCATAGCAGTTAAGGAATATGTTTAGAGAATTTCAGAAATGCAAAATACAAGCATATGCTACTGTTTAGAGGAGTTACTGTTATTAGAAGTACACCATGAGATCTCTTCCAAATTGAAGGCAAACTCTAAGCAGACCAGCCTGAATTAAAGTGGTGAATGTGGGTGAAGGCACAGATTACTCACCACTCAGTGCCCAGACGTCATGCAGCGTTAACCCCACCTGGAAGCCCTGAATTCTGCAGATTCTTGCCAAACCTAAAATTTCTTGGGAAGAGTCTGAGGAGCTTACTTGTGCCTGTCATCCATCAGAAGAGCCAACTTTATTGTCTATTAAGTGGTATATTAGCTATTCCCACTACTGTCCACCATTCTTTCTCCTGGGTACAGTGCATGAGAAACATCTCTACCTCAGTTTTATTTCTCTTAAGTACAGATGTAGCCTCTAATGACAGTGTAAGAGTTCACTATAGTATGCTAACTAAACTTAGGCAGGAAAACAAATGACACTTCAATTCAGTTGTATTAGATTTGTTTGTTGGCGTTTTATTTTGTCTTGTTTTGTGGTGTTGTGGTCAAACTCAGGGCTTAGTGCTGACTAGTCAAGTACACTACCACTCAGCTAGATCCCTACTCCATCAGCTCAGTACTTTTAGATACTAAAGATATTTTTCACATAGTTCTCCTGTGTCTAAAGACCTCCAGCACAAGATCTGGAAACATAATCCAGTACCTAGATCAGGAGATTTCTAGAAAAAAAAAAAACTTTAATCCACAGGACTAAGTCACCAGGGGAGGAAACTAAGACACCAAGACAGTTGTAAGGGAAACTTTTTTTCTAAAAACCTTCAAATCCTATAACCCCTGGACAATGTCCTTCTCCATGAATCAGCTTTGACCCTCAAACTAAACAACCACTTGCTGCTCCATGTATTATCATTAACCATGGCTGTGTGGCTGTCATGGACAGTGGCAGATATCTGTTGTTCTGTACTCCTGCCTGCCTGACATCCCTGTCCTTTCCTATGGGGAGGGTACCTCAGTTTTTTTGGGGGGGGTAATTATTCACTCCCCACACAAAACAACCCATGGTCTTATCTTAGCATGAAGCTACTGTCTTCTCTCTTAGCATCTAGTTGGGCATAATACTTAGGCCCAGGAGGGTTGTCATTTACATTTCTAAATTTTTGAATAAGACATTTTAAAACTGAAGCTGGGTGCTGGTGGCTCACGACTATAATCCTAGTAGCTATTCAGGAGTTTAAAATCTGAGGATCAAGATTCTAAGGCACCCTACAGTACAACCAGTAAAATCTCCTGAAACTCTGATCCCCAGTTATCCTCCAAAAGGCTCAAATGATGGGTCAAATGGTAAAGCATTAGTCTTGAGTGAAAAAGCCCAATGAAAGTGTGAGGCCCTGAGTTCAAGCCCCAGTAGAGTTTTTAAAACTAGGAGCCACAGAATTCTTCCTATTCAATTCTGGCTTTAACCACTGCAAAAAAAAAAAAATACGAGTACTAATTTAAAAAAACAAGACGGGAAAGAAGAGTTATTAAAACTATAACAAATAAGTTTAAGTTGTTCTTATTCAGTATTGTTCAGGAAAGAGTGTTTCAGAAACATTGTACTAATCCTCTTCAAGGTAAAGATTCGCATGCAGCGCCACCTATTGGCTCAGAGCAGAGAGAATGCCTGGCCTTCAGAAGACAATGCTTGATAAGAAATGTATTCGTTATCTTGCCCATGTAATTGTAACTCCTCTGTACGGTATTCTCACAATAAAAAAATAAATATTTTTTTTAAAAAAGAAGATCTCTGCAGACACTTAAGAGTGGAATAGTGCCTTGGGTCACATACAGGCAGGGGATGCTTTCCTTTAGAAATGTTTTCCATCTTAGGAAACCAGAAAAAAAGGAGCTGAATTAAGACACTGCCATTTTGAGACTCAATGAAAGTAATAGATGTTGCTGAAATCAGATGAAAAGCTGATGGTGCAAACAAGGCAGCAGACTAGTAGTCTAGGGACAGGAAACAGACTAACAAGCAAGGGAGGAGTCAGAGCAGGACCACAGCTCCCTGCCACCCGATTTACAGCCTATTTCCCTGTAGCTTGATGTAGAGTGGTGGGGAGAACTCCTATTATAAATAAGAATCCTTGGATCATGGCCCAAAATGTGAAAGCACAACAAACCTTCAAGAAAACACCAGAGAAACTCTTTATAAATGCAAGATTATCAAAGACTTGTTAAGAGAGACCAGAGCACACAAAACTTCATAAAGAATATGGAGCACTATAAAAACAAAAATAGTGGTAAATTGGATTTCATTAAAACGAGAACCTCCATCCATCAGGAGACATTAATATGAGAGCAAAAAGCAAGACAGGGAAGAGAATTTTGCACTCCATACATCTCAACAGTCAGGGCCAGAATGTCTAAGAACTAGTGCAAGTCATTAAACCAAGGCAGACAAATCAATTGTTTAAACAGGCAAAAAAGGCACTGCATTTACAAGAAAGGAATAAGGATATAACTCAGTGGTAGAACCCTTGCCTAGCATGTGTAAGGCCCTTAGTGAGATCCACATTACTAAAGGGGGAGAAACCTATCCAAACAGCTATTGCATACTCAGCACCATTCATTGTTAGGAAAATAAACCATTAAAACTAGGACTAAATACCACTACACGCCACCACAAGGGCTGACATGTAAAAACAAAACAAAACAAAAACAGATGATAGTACCAAGTATTGGTGAAACTATGGAGAAACTGGAACTGTAATTCACTGCTGGTAGGAAGTAACTATCATTAAACTGTCTTGGAACTGTTTGGCTTTATCTACCAGAGCTAGACAAACATGCTATTGGAGCTCTTCTGTTCTAGATAAGTGACTACAGAAATGAGTTCTGTGTCATAGGGCTTGTTACTCACAGGATTACTCATAATACCTACAAACTGGAAGCAGCCCAAACAATAGGTATTGGATAAGTGAGATCTTAGCAATATAAAGAAACAAATTACTGATACTATGCAGGGGCAAGTCACACAGATAACATTAAGTGAACTAAGTCAGATGTGAAGGAGTACATACTGTGTAATTCCAGTTAGGCCATGTTCAAAACAGAAATAATGTATGGTACCAGAAAAAGGAAACAGAGATGGAACTGTCAAGTTTTGGCAGATGAGTGAGACCCAGGAGGCTGACCATGGTCTGTGTCCAGATCTGGTAGAGCCAACATGGTGTGTTCATTTGATAAAATTAATCCACAATCCTACTTACCGTTCATGGACTTGATTATAGGTATGCTATTCTTTATTTAAAAAGACGACATAAAACTTCATTATGGACTGATCAAGCTAACATTTACAATAATGATCTATGATCATTGTCAATGCCCAATCTTAAAATTACAAAACAAAAACCAAATATGTTATGCTTTCTAAGGAAAATATAGTCATAAAGCACCTTTGTATGAATAAAGGGATGTATTTATCCATCTATTTGTCCAAACTGTTTCCTTTTCAAGTCCTAGTGCTAACCACCAAAGTACAGAACATATGGGATTAGAGAGAAACAGGTTAAATGCTCTCAGACAAATAAAATGAATGAGAAAAATCCAGAATGTGGAGCTCTCTACAGGACAGATACTCCATTTCTTCAACATATAAATTCCCCAAAATAAAAGAACAGCAAGGAAACTTATAGATTACAATAAACTTGTCTGACATACCAATCAAGTGTAATGTACAAATTTACTTAAACACAGAATTAAGTAATTATAAAAAAATCTGGAAAAATTGAACACTGGCTATATATTTGATTATATTAACACAATAATGTTGATGTCAGATCTAATAACAATATTGTGTTTAAAAATAATTTGAGCCAAGTACCAGTGACTTATGTCAGTAATCCTACCTACTTAGGAGGATGAGATCAGTATTGAATTTTGAAGCCAGTCCTGGCAGAAAGTCTGAGAGACCTCATTTACCAAAAAATAACCAGCAAAAAACTGGGTGGAGGCATGGCTCAAGTAATAAAATGTTAACTGAGCCAGCAAGTCAAGGAAGTGCAAAGTCTTGAGTTCAAAGCCCAGTTGTGGTGAATGTAAAGGTTGTTTAGCTCCATGGAAAAAGAGATTGACCCCAGAGTGCGAGTAATGAAAGTACAAGATGAACCTGAACATCTTACAGTTCTAGAAAGTAAAGAAAAGCTCAAAAGAGAACAGAGGTGCGTGACAAGAACATGGGAGTCAATCCAATGGCACTTCTAATGGCCAGATGTGGAACAGTTTAAGCCATAAAATATTGGTGACATTGGATTTTGGCTCCTAGAATAAAATATTACTGTAAATACTTACATAAATAACAAAATCAAGAATACATTTTTTAATGGGTACAAAAGACTGCTCCTTCTTGTGGTAGATGTTGAATGAGGAATGGAAATACAAAGTCAACACTGGGCAGGTAACAGTCAGAGGTTCTTGGCGAGGAGCACCCCCAGTGGATGAGCAAGTCAGTAAGCAAATCTTTGTGGAGAAACAGTACATTTACATAGTACCAAGGAATCTTTCCTCATTATTAGCAAAGAGAAAAATGTATTAACAAAAAAAATGATCACTTAGTAGTAAAAACAATTGGCAGGCATCATCTTGTGAGCAAGGAAGACATTACCAAGAATACGATCAACACCACAAATCCCTTCAAGGATGTAATTTCTCTTCTGTGGTTTTCTTGCCAAAATTATTGGTCTCCCTTAAGACATGGCCAATCATCAGACATCAGACATCTCTCTTTTTTTTTTTTTTTTTGGTGGTACCAGAGTTTGAACTCATGTGCTCACACTTGCAAGGCTGGCACTCTTACCCAAAGCCATGTCTCCAGCCCTGATTTTTGCTGGTTATTGTCACAGCTTGCCGCAACCAAGGACAAGGTTACCAGATGTTGAAATTGAGGTGTGGGGCACCAAGGGCCTGAAGCCTTCGGCCAGCTTCTGGTGCCCCAGGTCCTTTTAGCAAGGTATTTATCGAGTAGGGTACAGGGGCATATGTGCTGAAAGTGAGGTATCAAAATTTCTTGAAGTCACCAGTACCAACATGTGATGTAATCTTATTCAAGTGATCAGTGACTTCCTTATCTTAGGAGGTAAAGGTAAGCACTAAATGTCTTACAATTTGCGTAGACTATTGTCTATCCCCTAGCTCCCAGAAAGTTTGGGGTTGAATTAGCCATCACCCAGGATAGATATCTGAATTCCTATCAAACCAGGACTGACTGACCTTTTTTTTTGTATTTAAAGATTATAAAATTGGGTTATTGCAAAAGAAATTCAAGAATAACCAGTTAAATTCTTACCCCCATGCTACCCAATACAAGCAAGATTAGGTCAGGAACCAAGACGCACAAAGAAGCCTGTTTGAGGCTGTTACTGGGGAGAGAGAAAACAGGGTAAGCAGAACGTTGAGGTAAATCTGCCAGGGCGGCGAGGGGGAGAAGGCTGCAGATGTGGCCCTGGGTCTTTGGGAGAGACTGAAATTTTAGGAATGCCTGACTGCCTTTAGTGACAGCAGGATGCAAGGTAAGTCTTCACTGAAAAGCAAGCCGTTTATCAAGTTTTATCCTTGTCCCACATACTCTCCAGAGCCCACTCCTACCTTCCCTCACTCCCACCTCTCCTCCCCCTGGGGCATATACTTATTAGCCCATAGAGAAGATGCAATCTTAGCTGGGCTTACTGGTGGATGTAGCCCCCATGTCCCCACCACCCATATTCTCAGTTCTGTGCTGCAGGTAGAATTTCATCACTGTTCTAAACCCAGTGTCTCTGCATAACCACCATTCCTTCCCTCAGACTTCATTCAGCACTGAATCTTTTGGCTACTTTTTAATAAAATCCTTAATAGTCAATTACTATGAAAGATCAACCAAGTGATCATTATACATAATACAAAAAAAAACACCCCCTGATTGACCTTTCAGGAAACACTCAGCATTCTGAGAGTTCATGTTGGAGGAGGCTTTCCTAACTCCCAGTCCTTTCCAGTCTCACAGCTCAACTTTTTGGGCTCTCTCACAGGTTATTTTAGATAAGGGTACATGTGTGTCCCTATGTCCACCTCTTCATTGAAATGGGGTCTTTTGGCCCAGGTTGGCCTCAACTGTGAGCCTTCAATTCTCAGTATTCCATAAGTACTTTCTATATCGTATCTTCTACATTCTGTGCTCTGTATTTTGCAAAATAACCAATTAGAGCTCTTCAACAGCATCAAAGTCAGGAAAGATAAGGAAACAGGAAGAACTGTCATGGATTGGAGGAAGTTAAAGAAACATGACAGCCAAATGCAAGATGTGGTCCCTGGGCCAGAAAAAGGACATTAATGGAGAGCCTGGTGGAATTTGACTGCAGTCTATGTTACAATTGGTAGTATTACAGTACTGTTAACCTTACTCATTTTGATCATGTGCTGTGGCTCTATATATATTGATAACATTTTTATCTCATAGAATAAATAAAATATTATTATGTTCATATCAGGGAAGTTGGTTACATAAGGAAAATCTCCACACTATTTTTGCTATGTTCCACACATCTAAAATGAGCTCAAAATATTTTTTATTTAAAAAGAACCTTCATGTTTGTGAGATGGTGAAATACTGATGGATTTTTTTAAGGCCAGATATGTCTTTGAATATAACCCACATTTGTCACCAGTTTTCATAGCAGACATCCGATGAAATGTCTGTTTGTGGAAAATGGGTTGTAGGCTCTTTGTATAAAAATTAATAAGGCACAGTATCAGATAACATAATCTAGGGCAGAGGCAAAGCTAGGAAAGGTCCTCCAGGCAGGTGAACAGTGGAGCGCACACTTGAATACCTTCTTCCCTTTAACTAACGGACTTGGCTCAAGTCCCAGTGGATCATTCACATCCTGATGGAGGTCATCATCATACCTAGTCCTCCAGAGTTTATACCACAAATCTCCACAGATTATGTGCAAGGTGCCTTGCAAAGGCCAACATTGTCTTACCATCTAATTTCTTTCTGACAGGAATGGAGGAGGCCGCAGTGGCACATTTTGCGCCATCAGCATTGTCTGTGAGATGCTTCGACACCAGAGAACTGTGGATGTCTTCCATGCTGTGAAGACACTAAGGAACAACAAGCCCAATATGGTGGACCTTCTGGTAGGATGCTTCTCTCTCCTCCCCCTGGGGCATACACTTATTAGCACAGAAGCCATTCCCTTGTCCTGAATTAGCACAGGACTTGTCTGAATTAGCATAGGCCTACAGTTCCTCTCCCCTGAGGGACATCCCTGAGCATGGGTCTTCGCCCCTTCTCTCGTGAGAAATGGGACATCCCTGTACTAGCACAGGGTTGTACAACCCTGTGTTGATACTGATAAAGGAAGAGACTCATTTTCAAAAACATAGCATAATGCTTTGCTCAAAGGAATTTTCTGCCCTTTTTTCACTTTTCTGTCTCCTCTCCTTGTTTTTTCACAAGAAGACTGTCTCAGCTTGTTTAAAATGAAGAAGTAGTTGAAACTCACAAGTGAACATCCTTATTAATTTCCTTTCCTGGCAGCGCCTTCCACGTGGCTAAGCACTTATTCTTTACTGAGAAGAAATAATCATAGCACACAAAATGCCAGATTTCCAAATTATATATTTTATAAATAGCTTAATCGCCTAATATTTATCAAAGCTGTGAATTTTAGTTTGACATCCAGAATATTGCATTTAATTATGGTGGCCATATCTGAGAAAAGGATTAAAGGAGTTGAAAAACAAAGAACGAGGTGCAATTATTTTCTTAGACTATTTCATGAAATCCTCTTTTTATATGGAGCTGTTGAAATGCCAACCACAGTGACTCAAGAATAGGAGAATAGCTTCAAGGAGGCAGCTTTTTGATTAGGTTTTTGTGTTTCTCTGTGAGAGAAGGAAGGATCTGAAGGAAACAGTAAGACTAATCCAGGATTGAAGCGATGGCCTAGGGAAGAGAGGGGGAGAAGAGGTGGCCAATGGCTGCCAAGCGCAGAAGGCCTGGGTTCTAGAGCCTACAGTACTGTAGGGATACAGAGGAGCTTACAAAACTAAGATAAAGGAATCCAGCTCACATTTGTAATCCTAGCTACCCAGGAGGTTGTTATCCAGAGGATTAGGGTTCAAGGCCTACCAAATCAGAAAAAGTATACTCAACTCCATCTCTAAAATAACCAGCAAAAAAGAAAGATAAGGATATAGCTCACGTGAGAGTCTGCCAGCCTAACAAGAGCAAGACCCTGAGTTCAGACTTTATCACCAACAAGTGTATAAGAGGACTAAAATACCAAGATTCAAGCTGAAGTTGAGGAAATACTCATGGTCCCCTGGTGTAAGTTGAAGAGTCACTGCACAAATATCTGCAACTGGGTAACAGGAATGACACATGACAGCCAGCCCTGGGTGTCAGGTCTTCCTCACCACAAGCTATTCTCCAGGGGCACCCACATACATGTCTTATGCTTGAGGAGCCATTCCACTCTCAAGAAGCCTGGTGCTGGCCAGGGCATATGGTGGATGAACAAATAGCCCTCAAACTTGTGTGCAGTTAGCATATTGGCTTCTGTGGCAAAAGGATTGTGTTCTCCAAACTGCTGCCCTATGGGAAGATAAAATGAGGGTAGGTGGCCTTGGGTACATTAACTTTGCATCATAAGTGTCCTTGAATAAGTCACTTCCTTGGGTTTGAGTTGTGTAAATTAAGGGGATTAAGATACATGTGGAAATGTTTTGGAAAGAGGAGCGAGATGGTTATTGGCTATGTAGGTATCTACTAGGCACTGTGCCTTCCCAGCCTGAGGAAGCCAGTTATAAACAAGCATCAAGGGAGATACTGACAGCTAGCATTTGCAGTATATTCAGCGTATGACAGTACTGGCTCTGAGTCCCCTGTCCATAGTAACAGACTTCATGTAGATGAGCTAAAAGGCCGTCTTGTGTGGGCTTTAGTAAAACCAGCCAAGATTATCTCCCTTCCTGGAATACCACACAAATACTAAAGTTTTCAGTCTTCTGGGCAGCAGGGTTGAGACTTTTGGAGTTTTATTTTATCCAGTACTGAAGCTTGAACTCAAGGCTTCACTTCTCATTTGGCTTTTTCACTCAAGGTTGGTACTCTACCAGGGCCTGTTAGGCTGGAACACTTGAGAGCAAAGCCATCTGGTCAGTGGGAGCTGTCTAAAGAACTTTATAAAGAACAGATAAGGCTGGCAGATGATGGAATTGAAATCTCAGGCTGTGAAACTCAAAGGCAGATCCGAAGCGTCCAAATTTTGGTTGGTACTTAGGCAGAGCTTACCTTGATGTGAAAAAAGGAGAGTCATTTCCCTCTCAGTAAGCCTGAGTTAAGGAGATCATTAGAAGCAGACCCGCCAGGCCATTCCTCTAATGGTTCCACTGTTGCTTTCATCACTCAGGAATTTTTATGGGCAGAAATAATGGGACTCTTTCCAAATCAGCAATGCAGAGTATGGGACGGGTGCTTCTTCATGAGATAAATGGAGACTTAGCTGACTAGACCTGAGGAAGCTTGTGGTTATCACCAGAAATTATACAATAACTTAGGAGATTTTTATCATCATGAGTTTTTTTTCCTTTTTGTTCACAGTCAAAGGAAAATTGATATCTTTCACTGACACATAGTAATTGTACATATTTAGGGGATCACGTGTGACATGGTATCATGCTGTATAATGGTCGCTAGTCTTGAGAACATGTCAGAACCTCTTTACTCATTCTACTGAAGTCCTTGATTTCTGTCATAGTTCTCCAGCCGTGCTGTAGAGCATCGGAAGCCACTTCTCCTACCCAACTGTACCCTGTGCATCCATGGGTAATTCTGATAGAGAAAACTGATGTTCAGATCGCTGAAGGTTAGCCCCAGTTTTAGGATAAGGTCAGTAGCTGAGAAATGTAGGAAAGTTGTGAGATTTCCTAAGAAAATAACTGGCTAGATCTGTCATGGGACTGTGAATAGGATAATAGATGATATTGGGTGACGTTGTGGTGGGGGGTCACATTGCTCTGCTCTTTTTAGTGCGTTTGAAGCTCCTGGAATTGACTAAGAGCTTGCCGTTTGTTTGGTTTTTTGCCTGGAAGTCCTATTTCTATTTAGTTTGGTATTCACAATTGAGTGTGTTGGCTGAATGAATCAATTAATGGAGGTCAGGGTAGTAAAGTCTGGGATGATTGCTCTGGGCATATCAGGCAATCTGAGTCCTGAGCAAGGAATGTTGGGAGCAGCTGAGAAAGGCAGTGTGCTGAGTCTTGTGATTTGTCTTCAGGGGGGTGTTCTGGAAAGCTCTGGGGCATGCTTCTGAGCTAGCCAGTGAGAGAGCATAGTGGGATGGGAGACAAATGCTGGTCTAGGACCCTCTGGGTCTCCTCATACTACCCACTGGGTACAGACCTGCTGTGGCTCCTTCCAGCTGGAACTGAGAAGTGCGATGGCTTGCTTCCAGTCTTTTGGGAGGAACACAGGAAGGTCAGCCTGTCTCTCTCAATCTCCTGTGGTGGCTCTGCTGTTTTTAAGTGGCACCTGACTTGAAAACCTGTCTATTCATTTGGAAGCCTAACATTCCCAAGGGAGATCCAGAAGACCCTGAAAGTTGATTTCTTCAAATTCTATATTTTGGGGGCTTTGGAGAAAAGCCAGTAGATTGCCAGGAGGGAAAATGATTTAGAACATTAGATTCGATTTTTTTTTCATCTAGCAGAAGCAGCTGCATTTGTTCCTGACCCCTTTTCAGCCTGGCTTCTAAAGTCTCTATCTCTTCAACCGCCTTAGTTAGGTCCCATCAAAGACATGGGTCCCCAGATGGCAGACCACAACAGCCAGCTTTGTAAAATGAAGTCCCTGGGTCTGGACGGCTTTGAAGATGTGACAGTCACATGTAAATGTCTGCTTCCCAAGAGGGCACCTTTCACCTTTGACCTCCTCACTTGTCTTTGAGGTTCACAGGGCTCTGACTCAACAAGACACGGTTTCCCCCAGAAAGCAATGGAAGCTTCTAAAGGCAACATTCAGCCAGCCAGTTAGTGAATGGCTGGTCTACTCCTACTCCCCCCTTTTTTGTGCTGGTACTGGGTCTTGAATTCAGGGCCTTGTGCTCTTGCTTGTTTTTATTTCAGATTGATGCTCTACCACTTGATCCATGATTTCCTGTTCAGACTGGCTGATCTCATCATTCTTCCCCAAATGCCTCCACTGATTTGGCAGAGTTGCTCTAAGGCAAATGCAGATTCTGATCATCTGCCTTTGAGCTGTGTCAGCTAATGCCTCCTGACTATTAAAATACAAATAAAACTCACCCAGATCCCTAGGGATGTCCAGGGCACTTTCTTTCCTGGATCCTCCTCCTCCATATTAGAATAACTTTGCACCAAGCACTTATACCTTTGGATAGCTTTGCTTCTTCTCAAGCAAAGACCATTTCCCATCTAACTGGAACTGTGGCCTGTGCGTCTTTGTATGTAACACACTACGGGGTTTAAAGATGCCCATTCTATAAGTCAGAGCCTTTCTCACTTCCCTCTTCTGCATGGAGTTCTGAAGTTCATAAAGTACATCCTTGTTCCACACCAGATTGTGCCACACAAGGCTGTGAGGAAGGCCAGGCTAAGTACAGAGCCCCTGCTCCCTACACTCAATCCATGCCCACAGCTAGCTAATGTCACCCGATTTGGGAAGATTTAGGACCAAGGCATAAATTTTCTGTTTTCTTTTTTTCCTCTGAAGCATGGGGATAGCTCATGTGGCTTAATTATAGCATTCAGAAGCAAGTAAGCTGACAGAAGAAACTGCAGAAGACAGGCCTGTACCTGGTGATCAAGTATAATCAGTTTCCAATGTAGGAAGATTTCAGGCATTTACCCAGGTGCTTGGAGTCAGGGACACGACAATTCATAGTCTTTCTTCTCCTTCCCCTTATTTTTCTGATTCACAAACCAGTCATCACAGAATCTATGGGGATTAGCAGCTTGCTTGGGAGGGATAAGACAGGAGAGGGGGAATTCATTTTGAAAATTACAGTCATGTCTGAGACAAGGCAACTTTGGCAGCTTCCGGGCAGCCTTGAAGCTGAAAATTCCTCCAAGTCTCTACCTTGTGCACTGTCTGAGGGCCAGAATCCATAGATCCCACTCTCGCTAACCGATCCTTCATAGCAAAATTAATGGCAGTTAGGCTTGTCCAAAGTCAGTTTTATGCAGTGAGGGATTTGATTTCCATAAAATAATCATCCCAGTGATTCACAGAAACAAGAGAAATGGTTGCAGCATTAAGTGGCCTATTTGTCAGTGTGGCGATCTGACAACATGGCCTTTTAGAATTTTGAAATTCAAATTATGTCTTGTAAATGCTCCAAAAGTAAGAGTATCCAATCCTAAAATAATAAATGCTAGGATGTGAATCAGAAATATAACTTTGCTTAGGGCAAGTAATAGTTCAAGAGTAGAAAGAAATAAAAGGAAGAGAGAGAGGGAAAGGAGAAGAGGAGGGAGGAAGAAAAGAAGAAAACAAAACAAAATGGAAACTTTTATATAGAGTGCACTAGTTAGGGTAGATTGGGAAGGTTGTTGTTATTTGCAAGATGAGAAAGTTTAAAAATTATTCACTTGTATCATCAGCTTTGCTTTAAAAGCCAACTTTGTCCAAACTTCATAAGATTCCTAGGTTGACAAGTCTAGAAGGGGGCTGTAGATGTGACAGACTTATTTTACAACTGTAGGAGTTCCGTATCTCAGGACCTTGGGGTCCTGCTCAGTACGGAGCATTCAGACAACTGAACTCACGTTTCACACAAAGCTTGTTCAACCCCAGTCCCACCTGAACTCCTGACTGACATAGGAAGCAGGAACCACAGCATGAAATGGGTAGTGTCTTTCTCCTGGTGATTTTTATAGCAGCTTTATTGAACTAGAACCCAAATGCCATAAAATTGGCTCTTCTAAAGCATCCACTCCAGTGACTTCCACTGTATTCACCGAACTATGCAACCATCACCAACGCCATCAAATGTATAACACTTCCATCACCACCAGAAGCCCCTTACATGATAGCAGTCATTCCCCATTACTCACTGTTCTGTTCTTAGAACCAACATCAGTCAACATTCAGTGTTTATAACCTTGCCTATTCTGGACATCTTGCACAAATAGAATCATACAATCTGAGACCTTTGTGGCTTAACTCCTTTCACTCAGCATGATTTCAAATTCACCAAATTTATCTATATCTTTAAGATAGGAATCGTTAGAAGGAACCGTTAGATCAATTCAGCAGGAATAAATAGTAATTGTAAATCTACATGCACCCAAAATCAGATCATCCAGTTTTATAAAGTAAAACTATTAGCACTAAAGGGAGAGATGAGCTTCAGTGCAATACTAGTGGAGAGTTCAGAAATGGCAGGTCATCTAGAGCAAAAAGTCAACAGACACTAGAACTAACCTATAATATATGAACCGGATTTAACATATATTTATAGAAAATTCCACCCAACAGAATGAACATTCTTTTCATCAGCACATAGAACTATCTCTAGAAAAGACCATACACTCCATCACAATTGAAATCTAGTACCTCTTCTGATCACAGTGGAGTAGACTGAAGTCAACAAGAAAGAAAATTTTAGAAATGATATAAATGCATTCAGACTGAACAACACACTATGGAAGCAACATCATGGATGAAATTAAAATGGCAATTTACACTTTTCTCAAAGCAAATGAAAATGGAAACACAACATAACAGAACTTGAGTTCAATAAAAGCCATACTAAGAGGGAAATTTACAGCAACTAAGTAAATACTTCCAAAAAAAATGAAGCTCAGCAAGGTGCCTCAATCCTGTAATCTTTGTTATTTGGAGGGTAGAGATTGGGAGACTGCAGCTCAGGGCAGCCTGGGCAAAAAGAAGTATTCATTACTCCATCTCAACCAATGGCTGGACACGGTAGCACATACCTGTCATCCCCAGTGATGTGAGGAAATACAAGTAGCAGGATCACAGTCTAGGCCAAGACAAAAAGAAAGATGTTCAAGGCAAGGCTCGGCTCAAGTTTTAGAATACCCGCAGAGCAAGCATGAGGCCCTGAATTCAATCCCCATGCTGAAAAAATTATATCCATATCTGTGTATATCTATACATAATATATACTTCAAACAGAATGGACCAAACCCAGAAATAAAGATTACAGTAGAAATAAACAACATGGAGACTAAAAATAGAAATGCTCTTTGAAACAAGAGTTGAGTTTCTTTTAAATTGTAAGCCAGGTAACAAAATCTTTTGTTAAACTAAAAAAAAAGAAGATACAATAAAGAAAATCAGAAATAAAAAGGAGACATTACAACCAATACCAGAGAAACAGAAAGGTTCGTTAAGGATTATTATGGAAACTTCTAACAGTAGGGAAACCTGGTAGAAATGGACAAAGGGGACTAGTAAGCACAACCTTTAAAGCATTTCAACCTGTCTTCATGGGCTCTTCTTCCACCTCTTGAGTTCCCTCAGATTGTTGATGCATAGGTAAATGTGAGGACAATCTTCCTTGGTATTTCTGGGACAGTGGATCTTCCCAAACTACCAAATCGTCAGAAGCCCAAGTTCCTGATATTGGGACTAGCAGCACATATTTTATATAACGTAGGCATAGGTTTTTTGTATGCTTTTGTATACTTATATTTAATCTCTAGATAATTTACAGGACCTAATACAATGTAAATACTATATAAGTAGCGGTTATTCTCTAGTGTATAGAGACATGTATTATAATAACCTGATAAAGCTTACATAGTCAGTACAGAGAGAATTCTTCCTTTTATTTGCTTGTTATTTTGTGTTTTATGTGTACATGTGCATGGGTATGTGCATGTACTCAGGTTTGAACTCAGAGCCTTGTGCTCTCACTTGGCTTTTGTCCATGCAAGGTTGGTGCCACACCTCCATTTCTGGCTTCTTGCCTGGTAAACTGGAGATAGAAGTCTTACTAACTCTTCTGCCCAGGCTAGCTTCAAACCTTGATCCTTAGATTTCTGCCCATAGGATTATAGGAAGCACCTATATGTATCATTAGCACCTGACCCAGACACATTTTTTTTCAAATATTTTGAATTAAAAGTTGGTGGTATCCAAGTATGCAGAGCTCAGTGATACAGAAAGGTAACTGTATGTGGCTTTTGGTGGTCCAGGAGTTCTAATAAGCATAGATATCAGAACATGGCTTTTAGGGAACCTCTATGAACAGCAAATATACTTATGTTTAGAACGATGACTTACTAATTGGGTCCTAATTCAGATCCTTATCAATTTGATTTCTTCTAACTAAGACCCTTAACTGTATAACTGCCTGAATAGAAGCAGTGTTTAGATGGTACAAAACTGACACCATTCTTTTTCTGTTTTCCAGGATCAATACAAGTTCTGCTATGAGGTGGCTCTGGAATACTTGAATTCTGGCTAATGGCATCCACAGCTCTGCGCAGAAACCTTTCCTGCCACAATGCCAAGATGTCCGATGGTATTTGTGTAGATGAGATGACAATTTCTCAGTATGCTTATTTTGCTTTGCATAATTGGCTCTTTTTAAGAGCCCCAGAAAGTGTTTATAAAACTGCTTGCACTGCCCAATTCCCAGTAGTGCTGCTGCCTGACAGAAACACACACAGCGCACAGTCGTCAGACACTGTATTCCTCATCACAGGCCTGTGAGCACGGTGGAGACATCTGGTCAACTGAAGAGCACAATTATATTCTTATGAAGGAATTTGTACTTTTGGGATATTTTTTTGTGGCCCGTGATCCTTTGTCATTGTTACAGCTGAGTGTATGTTTTTGTTCTGTGGAGAATGCTACCTGGCATTATGATAATATATTATTTTTAGTTAATATTTGTATTTTAACATGTCACATAAGCTTCTGTAGCTTTTCCAGGACTAACAGATAAACATGTACTGAACAAAGATATGTTCGATGAGTGGTCGTTTCTACCAGATTTGTATTGTTTCCAAGGGAAAAGCTTGGGAAGACTCAGTTCAGAAATGCAACATGGTCAGATTTACAGATCCAAAGCTTTTTCCATTTGTTTATATTGTAAATACTTTTTGATTTCATCAAATTATTTATTCATTAAAAAATTTTTGTGAAGCAGAGTGAGTGACAGTCATTTTTATTAAGCCCTGAAAATCATTCGACTGTACAATGTTACCTTGTGTTAATATCTCAATTCAATACATGTTGACCCCTGACCAGTCATGGTGTATTGCTGAGGGTGCAGGCTGCACCCCTCACAAGAACAACTTGGTAACAGAATCTAAGATGCTTTTGCAATGTGGAGGCACTGAACGTATGAACTACATTTCCCAGAATCCTATTCTCTACTTTCCTAGTTATAGTGAGCCCCAGGAGTCATTTAGTACAAGATGTAGAGGGCAGAGTTAAAGCATCTGTAGTGTTTTGGGGTTTTTTAGATTTAAGTAATTGTACAAAGGAGTTCCCATTTAGCAAAGCAGTTTATAATTACAATGGATCTTGAACATTACCCCTTTCAAATTCTCACCTATCCCTCCCAACTTTCCCCTTCTCTTGCTTTTTAAAAACTTGGTAGGATATACAAATTGAATTATTTTTATACTCAGAAAGTAGAGCAACTGCTGCCTCTTACCCACAAAGTTGACTGGCAGGCATGTTAATTGTCTGCTTGAGTATCCAAACTTTGGATGATGAAAATTTCATCTTAGGTCAGAATTTAGGAATGGTTCAGCTGCTTGGTTCTGCCTTGAAGATCTCATCAAGCCCAAAATATCAGTTAGAGCTATCCAATTTTTTGTCATAGGCTGTTTTCTGTTGCTATAACTGAATGCTACAAGCTTTTTGGTTTATATAGAATAAGAGTTTATTCAGTTCAAGGTCCTAGAAGATGGGAGGTCCAAGATCAAGAGACCACATTTTTAAGGGCCTTCTTTTGGGTAGTAACTGCAGAGTCCCAGTATGCTGTAGTCATCTGAGATGAGGTGCATTTCCAAGGCAGCAACACATGTCTTGCATGTTGTTTGCAAAGGTGTCCCATGTCTCCCCATGTGGCTCTCTCCACAAGTTACTAACGTATCCTCAACCAGCGATGCAAGAAAACCCAAGACAGAAGCCCCCATTTCTATTATGTCCTAGGTTTGGAACTCCTACTCTGTCATCTCCATAATATCTCATTGCTATGAAAGTCAACCTTTTTCCACCTGGGTAGGGCCTACACAAAGGTGTAAATGACAGAATGTAAGAATGAGTAGAGCCATCCGGAAGGTTGGCTAATACCTGCTGGCCACCTTCAGACCTCCCACATTAGTTGGCACCTCAGCCTCTGTGGGCTGATCAGCTAGAGTACATTTCATCTCTGTGAGTTTGCCCTGTCAATCAAGACTTTCCTATTATGTCCTTGTCATACTGCTCTGCATTTGTAAACTATTATTTTAACATATGATTATCAAGGTGCTGTATAGAGGAGTTACTGTTTCATAAGTCAGGTAAGGAGTATGCTTCTTTTTTTTTTTTTTGAGTATCCTTCTTTTTACATTTTGTCATCCCTTCCTTCATTTTCCCCTAGTTTTCCCCTTCCATCCCTGCCCACAGATTGCAGAGGTCATTTTCCACATAGTGAAGAGCATGATTGCCTTTGTTTTTGTCTTCCTCCTCCCTTTCTACATCCTCTCTTTGCTTTTCCTAAAAGAAAAACCCAAAGCAAAAACAGACACCAACAACAACCACAGTAACAAAAAAATATGTTTCTATTTCCTATACTATGCTTTTATTAAACTTTTTTACAAAAATCTACTGCTGACAGCTATTACAGTCATTTTTAGTATGATCCAATGAAAGTTTACTCAGCTATAAACAAACTCCTTCCATGGCCTCAATTAGCAGGAGGCTCTCTTGTGACAAAACCCTAAGGTAATGGCCTCCTCTGAAGCTCCCTAGAAGAGGCAACTTACTTTCCCACACCGGTACTTACACCATCTCACCAAGTGCTCTCCTTACTCCATTTGAACAAAGTGAGGACCACGGCCCATGGCTTGTCACCTGAACTACCTCACTTCTCTACAACATGCCAGATTCTGACCCAGCTACTAGCTCACACCTTGCCTTGTTTGTACTTCCTTGTTTTTTGAACTTAAGATCTCCAGTTCAGTTTCTGAGCATTGCCTTCCTACCTCTCCCCTGTGATGTATCGCTTCAGCCACAGTTTTACCAGCACCCTTAGTGACGTTGATGTCTTACAATTCTATCATATTCGCCCCACAAATGATAAGTTTTAGAGAAATATATACAGACAGGTGAGGGTAAGTGACAAAGCAAGATTTACCTCCCTGAATGAAGCAATTAAAACACTAGTGCACAAAAAAAGACATTTTTCTGTTTTCAGGGTACTAGAACATCAGGCAATAGCAGACTTTGACCTCCAAGGGAAAAAAAAGTGACTCATTGGATTGCTTTTACCTGAGGGCCTAGAGGGAATTTTCAGAACATACAGTTAAGGGGGAGGACTGGAGGAGGAGTTGGCTGATATCCCTTGTTTAAGGACTTGACACTGAAGTTCAAAAAGGCCAACATGATGAAAGTTTTCAAGGCAGTTAATCAAAGGTGAAAAGGTTGCAGCGAGAAAGACCTTCAGAGGATCTGTTCTAAGTCTTCAGCAGGTACCTATGAATGTACATGTACAAAGAGATTACCTGAAGCCAAAGAGAAAACAGAGGGAACAATACTCAGAGCACACAAGCCAGAAGAGTTTCTATTTCCATTGAGTAATGAAGTCAGGAGGGTTTGCCCTAATAAGTAGAAAAATGAGACCTAAGCACAGCTGTAGTCCTGCCCACCCAATCAACTGCAGCGTGGAAAAAAAACTTGAATGTTTATAGAAATGCAAAAAATATATCTTGTGCCAAAGAATCACAGCACACATGTCCACACTCAAATTACTAAGGACACAAATACATAGGAAAACAACACAAACTGAGGAGAAAATGCAGTCAACTGAAACTGACCCAGAACTAGCATAGATGTAGACTCAGTAAGACAAACACATTAAACGAGTTGTTTTCATTTTGTTTGGGTTTTGGGCTTCTTTGAAACAAGATCTTGCTATGTAGCACAGGCTTTTCTCAAACTAGTGAGCCTCCTGCTTTAGTTTCCTGAGTGCTGGGATTATAGACATTCACACTCAGTTCAAAGACATTATATAGACCTGTAGCTGCCTCTAGCTCCCTGAACCTCAGGAGATTGGGATGATCTATTTGTGTTCCCCTCAAAGGAAAATTCATGTGTTGGATATTTAATCCTGAAATATAGATGTTCATGGTCTTGGAGGGGGGATCTTTGGGAATTAAAATTAGATCAGATCATGAGGGTGGGCACCCACATCCATATCAGTGGCTTTATAAGAAGAAAAACCATGCACGCCAGCATGCTTGCGCTGTCTCTCCATGCTGCAATACGCCAAGAAGACCATCACCAGCTACTGTGGCACTGCACTCTTAGGCTTGGCAGCCTCTAGAACTGTGAGGAAAACAACAACAATAACAAAAAAACTATTTTTTATAAATTCCTCCACCTGTACTACTCAGGTAAAGCAACAACAAACACACTAAGAAAGGCTGGACAGCAGCCTCTGACGTAGACACATCCCTTCTTAATAAAGATTTCTGTACTCGCTCTGTGTCTGTGGCATTCATTCATTGAGCTCTTGAGACAACAACCCCAAGAAAGCTGCAGCAACAGATGCCAGCAGTGGAGCTCTGCAACACCAGTAGACATGGACGCCCCTAGAGCTGCAACCCGAGGAGGCAGGGTCTGCGGTGGGGCTGTGTGCCTGCTGGGGGACAGCCACCCTAGCAATGCCTTCCAGCTCTCAGACACCAACAGGCTCTGCCCACCATGAAGAGCAAAAGAAATCTGTGTCATTAGAGTCTTCCCCTTTGCCACTCAGAGTGTCAAAAAAATGCAGAGGGGCTGGGAAGGTGGCTCAGTGGTAGAGCGCTTGCCTTGCATGCCTGAGGCCCTGGGTTCGATTCCTCAGCACCACATAAGCAAAAAGAAAAAAGCCGGAAGTGGCGCTGTGGCTCAAGTGGTAGAGCGCTAGCCTTGAGCTGAAGAGCTGAGGGACAGCGCCCAGGCCCAGAGTTCAAGCACCACAACTGGACCAAAAAAAAATTAAAAAATAATGCAGAAATTGGTTTTGGTTCCAGCAGAAAAAAAAATGTAAAGCCAAAAAAAAGCTCAACAGGAAAAGTTAAGATGCAGGAAATTAGCAAAAGTGTGGTTTCCACTGCTTTTATGCCAGCTAATGGTGCTGGAAAGAGTAATGACATGGGGTCTCAGCCCTGGGGAACACATGCTCTTTAAAAGGAACTCAGCAATGAAGGAATTGCCACTGTGGTCCATTGTCTTCATGTACAGAATAACAGCCCTGGCTTTGTCTATAGCAGGCATACTCAGGGAAGCTCTGTTGGTGGTAAAATAGGTGCCCAAATTCTAACATGCCTCCCAGTAAGAGGCGCATGGGCTGGGCTGAGGAATGAGCACATAGCACAAAGTGGAATGAAGGTGTTCAACTCCAGAAACAAGGAGAAACAAGGATGTGAAAAGGCCCTGTGGCAGCCTGCTTGCTCTTGCTCTGCTCTCTCCTTGACCACTCTCTGTACAGGCACCTTGATGAGCAATCTTTGGAGAGGCCCAACTAATGGGGAACTGAGGCCTCCAATCAATGGCCAGTACAGAACTAAGGTGCTGTGGTTTGGATCTGTGTCCCCAAAAGGTCCATATTTTAAAGGCTTGGTTGCCAAATCATGATGCTTTGGGGGAAGTGGGGGAACTTTTAGGTACCACTTTTTTTTCTCTGCCAGTCCTGGGACTTTGAACTCAGGGCCTGGCCACTGCCCCTGAGCTTCTTTTGCTCAAGGCTAGCACTCTACCACTTGAACCACAGTGCCACTTCTGGCTTTTTCTTTGTATGTGGGTACTGCGGAATCGAACCCAGGGCTTCATGCATGCTAGGCGAGCACTCTACCACTGAGCCACCTTCCCAGCCCGAGTGGGGGAACTTTAAAGAGATCTTTCAGTCACTGAGGGCATAACTTCAAAGGGGATGTTGGAGGCAGGCACCA